ACCTTTTCCAACATTATTCTTTTCCAGAGAATCCGACATTCTTATGATGTGCCCAGAGTAGGACAGCCTCATCTTCAAGAAGTAGGAAATGTTTAATTTCCCAAAAATTATCCCAGCTGATGATGTCATCAGTCTTACGGTAATAGGATTTCAGCCAAAAAAGGACAGGGGTAAATACCGAGGAGCAACTTCACAGACACATTCAAATGTAAGAGTGCAAGGGCACGTGTATGCATGTACAGAGGCAAGGTCAGGAAAAAACCCCATATGCATAGCATGTTGGTACTTTGCAAACTGGTGGAGGAAGTCTAAGTTTATGGAGCACCTCACATCCCATGCAACTCCATAAAGCACATGCAGTACCATGCATATGTTTACACATGAATCTTGTTGCTTTTTTTGGCTTTGCCTCCACTCACAAGCTATGTCTATTATGTCCTGTGACTGCCAGCCCTCAAGGGACTAAACTGTCCCATGCTTCCACAATGGCATTTCATTACACTGGACCTGTAGATTATATAAACTGACTCATGCACATCTGTGCACCTAGTAAGATTAACTGCAAAATGCTCTCTCTCTGTGTGTGTGTGTGGACGCATGCATGTACACACAAACACAAACACTTTCTACTTCAGTGTAATCTATATGGAAAAAATGGCAAAACCCACCATATTTAAAGAGTGAATCAGACTTTCATCATATTGATAGCTACTTCATAATTCCCCATATGGAGTTACTTCATAATAACTAGTCATACTCAGTAGGTTAGTTCTGGTGCCATCGTCTATCCTTCTGAGGCAATGATTCACAGAGACCAAGCCTCAGAACCTTGAAGATGACTCATTTAATGAGTATTGAGAACAGGGCCAATAGAGGGGACAAGAATTTCAATTCCAAATTAGGAATTACACAGTTATAAACATTGTTGGTACTACCTCTTGCTTGTGCATCTCTGTAGCTGTATTTGTGACTTCACTAGACTATAGTTTATTCCTGATTAACAGTTGTTACATCCTTTGTGACGGAACTGTATCACTGAGTTAATGAGCTGAAGTGAAAAGTATTCCCTAAACAAATACAAACTATGATGTCTTTGCCAGGGCAGTGACATCTAAATACTTTTATGAAGAGAATACATTTAGCAGAGTACAGAAGTTGAAACCTGTATGATTTTACTGACATTTGGAAGCTGCAAGAACAATATTAGAGGGCATAATTGATCCTTTGGGAGAAGGATACACATAATAGATTGAACTATTTGCCATTAATAGGGAAGTGTACAGTAGATAGCCAAGCACTTGTCAGTTAAATAATTCATAAAAACTGGAATGCTGTAATTGTAGATGGACACACCACTATGATTTCTATGAACAGTTAGGTGATAAATTAGACCAATATAATTTTGTTATATAATACATTTATATTAAGCTAAAAATGCTACAAAGATACCAGATTTCTCAAAGGTGTCTCAAAATATTTCAATGTAATGAAACAGCAAACTGAAGTTACTTAGAGCAGAGATGAATTAATGCAATATAGCAAAAGTCCTTGGGGGGGGGAATCAAAACTTGCCTTGGTTACCTCAGTTCAGATACTGTAAACTGCATGTATATAAACATTTGCATCTGTGAAAAAGCTCAGGCCAAATTCAGCGTAAAATGCTGTCATGGTAGGATATGTCTTTGATCACATTAAACCTCTTCAGAAATCTGTTCTTTCATATTCCACTGACTGAAGCAATGAGTTTATTTTAGTCACCCTATTTATCTAAATGTAGTAATACATTTAGATAAATAGTAATACTGTACATTTAGATATTAGATAAATAGTAGTACATTTAGATAAAGTTTACACTATAGATAAAGAGAACAAGCCAAAGTCATGAGTGACCAGGATATTAGATTTTCCCTCTCTTCCATACTCTCCTTCAGGAATTGTTTATGTTTTATGTTCTTCAAATAATATTTAAAACGTATACATGATGGAACATGGTTCGGCTTCTGAGCCAATATGCACAGGCTTGCTCGGTATGTTATATTGCCCATTTAAAGACTTGATTAATGTGAACACTTCTGCAGATTTCAAAGAGGTGACCATATTAATCTGTTTCAGGATCTATTTTTTAAATTTATTATGACAACTTGGAGACTAAAATTAATTTCAATATAGGCTTCCATTGATTACAAGCCACTTTCTCAGGCACATGGAATGCAATATTTAGCCATAGGGCTAAATACATAATGTACGGATGTGAGATTGGAGACCAAGTAAAGAGATATTGATTACACTTTGAAATGCTTAGTTGCTTCTTTTTGCAGACAATGTATATACTAAATATATGTTATATAAATCACCGGTTTTAAATCTAGGGAGATAGTTGTGGAAAACCACAATAGACATCATTTAAATTATTCAAAAACAAGCCATTGGTTTGTTTATCTCATTTGGTCCATAAGTACATAAAACTGAAGCACAACTACTTATCAGTGACTTGTATTGATTCTCACTGGCTTTTGTCTTGATTGCATTTATTTTGGGACAAATTAAATGTTTACAAATAGAAAATTATTTATGCTAATGAGGAGGTTCTACTCTGTCACTAAGATCCAAGCCAGGATGCATCTCCCAGGTCTGCTTTAATACCAACCACCTGAGTTATCCATCAGTGATGTTTATTAATCCCAGCACTGTAAGTCTAGACATGGGCATGAACTGAGAGTTCAGCAGACGGCTGAACAGGTTTTTGCAATTTGGCATCCCACCCCCTCCAGTAGGTGCCCACTCAGAAGCAGTGCCAGGAGGATGGCTGTGTGTTGAGACAGGATGCTGCTTTCAAGTGGGCACCTGTTGGAGAGAGAGGGAGCTGAACTGTGGAACACCTGTTCGGCTGTCTGCCAAACCAGCACAAGCTGCCAAACTGGGGGGTTTGTGCCAATCTCTAGTTAAGTCCTTAATAACTAACTTAAGCAATAATGATAACTATGTGCATCTCAAATAGGAGCCATGAAAGTTACAGTACTTAGTGAGTACATGCCCTAAAATTTCATAAATATTTTAGTATGTCTTTTCATGTAACATCACTGAAGAAATAACACTTGGCTACAATGTGAATATACAGCTTGTGTAGCAGTGTAAATGTGCTGTCCCCTCAAAATAACACAACACACAGCCATTAATGTCTAAACCGCTGACAACAAAAGGGAGTACACCCCTAAGTGACAATGTCCAAATTGGGCACAAAGTGTTAATATTTTTTATGGCCACCATTATATTCCAGCATTGCCTTAATCCTCTTGGGCATAGAGTTCACCAGAGCTTCACAGGTTGCCACTGGAGTCCTCTTCCACTCCTGCATGATGACATCACAAAGCTGGCGGATGTTAGAGACCTTGCGCACCTCCACTTTCCTTTTCAGGATGCCCCACAGATAGGGTTTAGGTCTGGAGACATGCTTAGCCAGTCCATCACCTTTATTCTCAGCTTCTTTAGTAAGGTAGTGGTCGTTTTGGAGGTGTGTTTGGGGTCATTGTCATGTTGGAACACTGCCCTGTGGCCCAGTCTCCAAAGGGAGGGGATCATGCTCTGCTTCAGTATGTCACAGTACATCTTGGCATTCATGGTTCCCTTAATGAACTGTAGCTCCCCAGGGCCGGCAGCACTCATGCAGCCCCAGACCATGACACTCCCACCACCATGCTTGACTGTAGGCATGACACAGTCTTTGTACACCTGGTTGCCACCACACACGCTTGACACCATCTGAACCAAATACATTTATCTTGGTCTCACTGGACCACAGGATATGGTTCCAGAAATCCATGTCCTTAATCTGCTTGTCTGTAGCAAACCGTATGTGGGCTTTCTTCTGCATCATCTTTAAAAGAGGTTTCCCTTTGGGATGACAGCCCTGGAGATCAATGTGATGCAGTGTGTGGCGTATGGTCTGAGAACTGACAGGCTAACCCCCCACTCCTTCAACCTCTGCAGCAATGCTGGCAGCATTCATATGTCTATTTCCCAAAGCCAACCTCTGCTTTCAGGATTTTGGCAATCTTCTTATAGCAAAGGCCAGTGGTTCTTAACCTTTGTTACTCAGGTGTTTTTGAACTGCAATTCCCAGAAACCCCAGCCAGCAGAGCTGATGCTGAAGGCTTCTGGGAGTTGCAGTCCAAAAACATCTGAGTAACAAAGGTTAAGAACCAGTGGCCTAGGCCATCTTTATGCAGAGCAACAATTCAATTTTTTCAGATCCTCAGATAGTTCATTACCATGAGGTACTATGTGGAACTTCCAGTGACCAGTCTGAGAGAGTGAGAGCGATAACACCTGTTCCCCCTTTGCACCTGAGACTTGTGACACTCTCATGACACCAGGGAGGGAGAATGACTATTTGGGCCCAATTTGGACGGTCACCTAGGGGTGTACTCCCTTTTCTTGCCAGCGGTTTAGACATTAATGGCTGTGTGTTGCATTATTTTGAGGGGACAGCACATTTACACTGTTATACAAGCTGTATACTCACTGCTTTACATTGTAGCCAAGAGTCATTTCTTTAGTGTTGTCACATGAAAAGATATACTAAAATATTTATGAAATTTGAGGGGATTTACTCACTTCTGTGATATACTGTATATAGGCAGGTGATATCATTTCATAGTTCCAAAGGTAATAAAGGTTAAGGCTGCTACTGAAAACCCTTAGCATTCTGGCACTACAAGAGAAACTGAAAAGTAAGCTAAATTATGTGTTTTGTGTGTGTGCACATGAGCCTTGCTGGCTGGTTTCTTAATGTTTCATCATTTTTCCACCCTCATATTATGGAAGGATAAATTAATTTCAGCCCTGCCTAGCAAATATCTGGCTGATATTTCTAAACTGCAGCTGTTGTTCTTCTTAATTTATAAAACATGACCTCCAGTTTGTTCATATGAAAGAGCCAAATGATAGATAAAAATCACCAGATTAATTTCATTGTGCCCTTTTCATTTTATTTATTGCAGATATCGCACAAGTTTCAGACCTAAATATAAAATAGCATACAAGACAGTAACAGAATTGGAGTGGAGGTGTTGCCCTGGATACATGGGCATAGACTGCAAAGAAGCTGTGCCACAAAAACCACGACCAGTAGTTTACCCGGCAGAACTACCGCCTGAACATAAGAAGACAAGCTTGGGTAACTTTTTCTTTGGATCTTGGTATGCATGAACCTGCCTAGTGTTCCCTTTCGGCTCTATTTTATGCAGCAGTCTTCAGTGTTCAACATACTTTATGATACCTTTCGCATTCATCAGGCTGGTGACTGCTTATATAGTCAAAAGCAGGTAATTCCCACACAAAGATTCAATGCGGATTTACACTGGATTTCTTGTATCTGCAGGGTGAGAAAGAATAATCATTTCTTTTTAATATGTGTGGCTAAATGGCATCTGATTAGTCCTTATTCAGGAGCTGTCTCATAATCGTTCCATTGAAATCCTTACCGAACCTAAGAGGTTATTTTGCAGCAGGGATTGCATGCCTCTCTAGCATACATAGGATGGCAGTTCCCATCAACCCTAACAAACAGAGCTAATGGCAGGAGTTGATGGAAATTGCAGTCCAACAAGGAAGGCAGTTCCAGGTTTTGTAAGAATGAGATGGTTTATTTGTGTATGTATTTTTTAAAATACTAGTGGTAGCATAGGATTTGGTCAAATGGATAGTGGGATGGGCACAGTAAGGGCATAACCTCCCTGTACATCCTTCCTCTTGTCCCATATGCATTCAGTTTCTTACTGGCATCTTTTTAAAATATTGCCTACATTATCTCTTCTACTACTGCCATTGTTCCTTTAAGAAACTCCCAAGGCCTTTCCTGTTGTCTTGGAGGTGATTGAACAGGACCTGTAAGAGGCCAGCAGGCTGAACGGAGACTAAAGCCACACAAGCCAAATTTGACCTGCAAGCTGCTGGTTCTTCATCCATTGTGATATACACGGACATGTTGTACATATACAGTTTGTCTACTTTAACACATAAGTGTATGTGCTGGGGGGAATTCTGCTCAGTACATAGATAGCATATGTTAACACATACTTAGGCATTTGCCACATCAGAAACATTCTAACAACAGTCATGCCACATTTCAAAGTAGTCACAAATGATCTATAGGCTATAGGTATGTTTGCACATAGGCACTAAATCATAGTGTAGTATGTGTGTGAGCAGAGAGCAGCCTGCACAAAGTGCAAGATGGAACCTCCTTCTGCATTACTCGGGGAAAGAGGAAAAAGCCAGGAATCATTCCCTTTCTGCAGATTCCTTTGATAAGAAGAATCTAGTCAATAGCTAAATAGGCCAGAAAAACAACCTAGAAATTTCTAACTCACCTATGTAACTATTATACTTTTTAAACTAAACCTTAATTTTTATATTAAACCACAATTCCTGGTGACACGTAACAAAAGGCCAGCAAAGTGAAATTGTATCCTGAGTTATTTCCTTTTTGACCATGGTTCAAGGTGGAAAGTTGGGGCTGGGTGTCTTTAGAGTGTTTGAACCCAAGATATTTCTTTGACTACTTACTATTTATATGCATAATGCTAAGTCAGGGTTTAATGTTACCTGCAATCCATCCCCATATATTGTTTTATAGTATTAATGTGCATGCAGTACCAAAATAAAATAATGTGAGCTAAGTTATTCAGTGAGTGATTGGGAAAGAGATAGTTAAAATGCTGCTTCAATGATTTCTTCTTTTCTGTCCATAGATGCTGGTCCCAGGTTAGAACAACAGGATGCACAGGATAAAAAAATTCAGTTCCTTGAGGATGAACTGTTTCGTCTCACACAGACTGTGTTAGAACTTCAGTCCTCTTTAATGGGTGTAAATGAAAAACCCAAGCTCACTGTGCAAGAAGATGCAAGTCGGATGCATGTCTCTTGGTTGAACAATTTTCACGATCATCCAAGGTCCGATAGTACTGTTAAGGGTGAAACAGAGAATAAGGACCAAAGAGAAGCTAGCATAGAAAACCTGAAAACTGAACTAGATGAAATGAAAGATGACTTGAAGGCCAAAAATAACCAGTTAGAAGACATGAATGGGAAAGTAAATGACTACGAAGAGCAATTAAAGCAGCTCCAAGAAGCGGCCCAAGGCCCAACAATCACAATACCTGCCAGCCAGCTATATCATGCATACATAGATGCTAAGTTTGAAGCCCTGAGACAGGAAATGTTGGAAGGATTTGAAAAGAAAATGGCAGATCTGAAGAATTCCTGTGAGTACAAACTGTTGGATCTTCAGCAGCAATGTGAGGATCATGAAATGAATTGCTCAGGAATAAAAGAACTTTTTGGAGAAAAAGAAAATGAGCTGAGAAAAGAAATAAAGTATCTTCAGAGTCTTATTCAAGGACCATCAAACCAGTCATTGTGTTGCAAAGATGCTAAAAGTAATGACTTTGAACAACAGTTAAAAGCTTTGAATGAAAAGATTGACAGAACTGCAGAAGCAAATAGAGTTTTAAATGCCAGGTTAGATAATGAAATAAAACATATTTCTAGTCCGCATTCAGAAGACAACTTTGATGCAAAATGGGAGGAAATGGAAGCAAGGATCAATGTGACAGAGAGAAATGCTGAAGAACACTGTTTTTATATTGAGGAAACTCTTCGTGGTGTTATATCTACTGAAATAGAGGAAGTGAAAAAATTATTTGACAAAAAGCTTCAACCACTGGAAAATAAATTAAGTGTGACTTTTATACATGCTAATGTCACAGATGAAATACATATTGGTCAGGGATCTGTCTCACACAGTGTCTCGGGATCTGGAAATGAGCAGCTTGCATCTGAGATTAATACGGTAAAGAACAAACTACAAATCGTTGAAAATCTTTGCCAGCAGAAATGTGAATCTGTACCACCAAATATGGAAGGTCTCCAAGAAGACATAGAAAACTGTAACAGTAAATATGATCTGTTGTTTTTGAAAACAGATAACAATTTGGACCTTTTAAAATCTTTAAATGGCTCCCTAAATGAAAAGTTTAATTTAATTAAAGGCAGCCAACGTGACATACAGAAACTTCAGAAGGACTTTCGAATAGTTCGTTTTGGACTGAGTGCCCTTGATAGAGATGTGAGAAACCTTCAGGCCGGCTTGAACAGCTGCAAAGAGCAGCTTCTGGGTGTCAACTCTACATGTGAAAAAACACAGCTTGGTGTGTTTAGAAAAATAGATGAAATACAGAAAACAGTAGCCAGTCATACAGTTTACCCAGGCAGCAATTGTTGTAATGACTTGAAGGAAAGGATGGAACTCCTAAATGAAAAAGTGTTTCAGAAATGTAAGGAAAAAATTCCAGGTGTCTCAGACTTGGAAGGAAGGGTGTCCAATGTTGAGAAAACATGCAGCAAGTTGGATTCTGTCTCTAGTAGCCTTCAGAGGATAAAGGAGGGATTAAACAAACATATCTCCAGTCTTTGGAAGTGTGTGAATCAAATTAACAGAACTGTAACAACCCATTCTGAAGATATTGTTATTCTCAAGAATTCTTCTCAAAGTCTCAGTAACCACAAAATAGCTATTGACTTTCAGGACCTGAAGAAACTTCATCCTGCTACATGTAAGTTACCCTGTCTCTTTCAATATGCCAATATTTACTTTAAAATATAGGGAGATAATAACATGGCTAAACGAAAGAGAACATTTGCCAGGGAAAAAAAGAGTGATATTCCCCCCCCAACTGTGCTTTTTAACCTGTTTGGTTTGTTTGTTAAATTTTGTTTGTATTTTCAAAACTTTGAGATCATTCCACTTTGACCCCAGTGTGCTGCTATAGTTTCACTTGATAGGGTACAGCATTACCGCTGAAATAGCTGTTGCTTTTATTGCAATGCTTAATGGTAGAGCAGAATTCCACACCCTGAGATTCAGGCTGAGATCTGAGCTGTCTTGAACAAAATCAGTAACAGTTATCGGATCTAAGCAAAGCGTCAGAAAGGATCCTGTTCAGATGCGCTCTGCACAGAATAGAATTGCAGAAGTGACTGCAGCTATTTGGACATGTGCCTGTCCCGGTTTTTTTTTTGTGTGTGTGACTGTCATTTTTCTAAATAGCAATGTCCATTTCTACAGCTTCCATTCAGTATGTGGTGAGCCTGAATATGATACTGACCCTGGACTACAATTCCCAAAATCACCTCCACCAGACACCATGACTATGCTGACTGGAGGATTTTGGCAGTTGCAGGCCAAATTGCAACAATTTCTGAGTGAAAGCCTTTACTCATGGGTGAGTGAACCCAGGGTAGGGCTGAATCAGTCTTTTGTGACACACCCTAACACTTGCTAAATGTGTGCTCTGAAAACGCAAAACTTTACCTTGTGTTCCTTAAGTTGTGTAGCAGAGAGATTCTCCCTTGCTTTTTAAGACAGATGGAACAAAACTATATAGCTCTACCCTCCTTTTTTCACATTAGATGTCAATTTTGGCATAAACTGTCTCTTTGATAGAAGCCTATACTGATTTTAAGGTAAAGGTAAAGGTTCCCCTTGCCAATTTTTTGTCCAGTTGTGTTCGACTCTAGGGGGTGGTGCTCATCCCCGTTTCCAAGCCATAGAGCCAGCGTTTTGTCCGAAAACAATCTTCCGTGGTCACATGGCCAGTGCAACTTAGACACGGAATGCTGCTACCTTCCCACCAAGGTGGTCCCTATTGATCTACTTGCATTTGCATGCTTTCGAACCGCTAGGTTGGCGGGAGCTGGGACAAACGACTGCTGGTCTTCTGACCCTGCAGCACAGGCTTCTGTGGTTTAACCCGCAGCGCCACCACGTCCCTTCATACTGATTTTAAAACCCCCCACAATTTATAGCTTTTGATTAGGTCATGTAGAATTCTTATATTGTCTTTACAGAAGAATATGTACTGGTATATTTAATGAGATCAGAAGTATGATGGTCAAATAAGTGCTTTTCTTCGTTGGGTAGGAAAAAAGGCAGGGTTGGTTAATGTTTTTGTCTGGTCCCAAACATAGTAAGTAAACTTTCAAATTCTCCACTAGTCTTCTGCAAAATTGAATGATAACAGCTTTGAGGGGATTAGGGGAGAAGATCCTCCTGCTCATTCAGTGGCTAGGTACAGGGACCATCATTGCTACAGGCAAGTTGACTTGCAAGAGGAATAATGCAAATTCAGTGAAAAATAAAGGCATTAAAATATCAGTTTAATTTTTGTTCTCCTTTCTGCAAAGAAGAAGCCTGGCTGAAATCATTGGGGTGGGGGGGGGGGAGACTGCCTTGAGTGAACCACACAGGGTCCTGAATTGTCTTAGCACAGTTACTACAGGAACTACTTGCAGACATTGCTACTATCTGTTTTTGTCCTCTGCTTTCTATTACGTCCTCTTTGCCTGCTGCTTCTAGTGCTTGCTTCACTTAATGTACTAAAGTGTGCTTTCCCAGGCTTCAAACCAGGTTGAAGCCTGTCAGTAATCATGGCCAGCTCTCTAGCAGCCAACTTTACATCAGGATACTCTTCTGGTGCTGTATTGTAGCGCAGTGGTTCTCAACCTTTGTTACTCGGATGTTTTTGAACTGCAACTCCCAGAAACCCCAGCCAGCACAGTTGGTGGTGAAGGCTTCTGGGAGTTGCAGTCCAAAACTCCTGAGTAACCCAAGGTTAAGAACCAGTGTTGTAGTGCATGAGATGAGGAACCACTATGTCTTGAGAGAGATATGTCTTGAGGTGAACCTGCATGCTTGGAAGTTTGGGCTCTGTATTTTCAGCTTCCCAGTCAAAATATATACGGACTGCAAGGGGACAGGGAGCCCAGTCCTTGCCTTTACTTTGAAGTAAGTCCCATTATATTTAATAATACTTATCTTATAAGTTGACTACATCCTAAGAAAATGTACCGGATGCAGAAAGTTTCCAGATGAACTGAGTGCCAAAACAGAACACTGAATATATTAAAAAAATTGATGTTTTAGTGTATATTGTCAGTAGGGTGAACTCTCTTGGGAGGGCTAGGGAAAGCTCAGAAAAATTGTCAACTTTTAACCTCTATAGCCAAAGATAATTTCATTTTCATGCATCTGTTGAAGCATGTTAAACATATTGAGCCACTTACATAATGTCACTGTAGATGGAAAACTCCAGGCATAACTTTCTTCTGTTTATATAACTGGGGGGGGGCCTATGGTGAGACCTCATTAAAAATAATCAGACAACCCCCTGTTAAATATTATACCTCCTTTCAACTTTTAAATAGGGCAAAGATATCCTAATATGCAGCCAGAATATTCTAGCATTGCATTCAGTTTTCACTTTAAACAGTATAGAGCAAAATATATATTACATGACTCAGCCCAATTCTATGATGATGGGCTAATGAATATTACTGTGCAGGATGTATAAACATAGGACAAATCCTTACTTGGTCATTACTTTCTCAGTGCTTCCATTTGAGGTAGTGGGGCACCTACTTTGATGGGTCACAATAAAAGGATTTGACACATAGTGGACATTTTCCTACAACACTCGAATAAAACATCTGGCTCATAATGTTCAGTTCTCTTATGGATCAAAATTTCTTATCCTGCCTACACTTCAGTCAAATGTTTCTCAGCCCAGTGGTGCTAGGCAGCTCTTTTAAACTGGTAGAATACTAGGACCAAAAGCTGTTCAGTATTCACAATACATAAAGTGTTAAGAAATAGCTGTTGCTAGTTCTCAGTTATGTTTTAATCATGAAGTGACAAAGATTCTTGTTTAGGGTGGCATAGGAAAAGAAAGGGAGGCAGCATCCACCTGTTTCTTCTGTATAGAGATTAAGAGAAAGATGTGATATCTAGCTGCACAGAAATGTCTCACATGCTCCTCTGCCGATGGATAAAATGGTCTCAGAAAAGGAAGAGAAGAACAAGCAATCTTGAAGACACAGTACATAAAATTGTTCAAAGATTAGCAATCCTACATTTAAAATCTCTGTTAGCCTATATCTAAGATGGCTTCATTGTTAATTTTTATTTAAATTTTAAAAATTTAAATTTATAGTTATTTTAAATATGTATATATTTTAGTTTTAGATTTTAATCTGTTTAACTCTCCACAAAGGGAGAAAAGTGGGATAGAAAATAAATACATAATGCTGTAAGTAAACATCAATTAGATTAGACAAAGGACCAAATTAAAACCGAATGACTTCCTAATATATTTTGCAGGTTAAAGACATGTTCCCAAACTTGCAAGCATCCTCCCTGAGCATGAATCATAATGTAGCATTTTGTGACATTGTTAATAATAATAACAGAAAAGAATATTTATTTAGGTCACAATACTATGAAATTTATCAGTTGGCAAAAGGCTTAAAGAAGCTGATAGAATGGTACTTGTTTATGCAGGTGCTTATGCATATAAGTGGTTTCTTGTGTACATAGCAGATTGCTATCTTGCATAATACTGCAAAACATTTGTTATGTTTTGTATCAACAACAAAATCTTAGATACCATAGATCTAAGGGTGCATGTGCACCGTTGTATCCATTTTTCCTCTTTATTTGAAAAGAGCTTTATTTGAAAGCTCAAAACGTTGTAGCATTGAAATTATATATTTCTGAACATTTACTATGCTTACCAATAGTTTAATTAGATTTTACATTTCAATATAAAGTGCATAGATTTAAATTTTATAATTTTAAGGAAAAGTTAATAATCTTCTGTAGTTTGAGGTGATTCCTCTTTTTCTTTTTCTTTATTTAATTCATATCCTGTCAATCTACCAAAAAAGAGAGATTCACCTTATAAAGGAAAAACATGCTCACATGCATGCATGCTTACACACAAACACACACACACACATTTAAAAATCAAGAGGTTAGGGGGGGAACCCCACATTATTTGTAGCTGGCAAATCTCTTTATATCAGGACAAATGTTGGATTAAATATTAACACTTTAAATCTGGATGCAAATTCTTCTCCCAGGCTGGCATCTGACCAAGATGCAGAGAATTATACTGTTGCCTCCTGCTGTGTCATCCGTTAAGTTTGGCAATAACAAACAAAAATCTATGCTGGAAAATATGGTACCCTGGGGATACTCTATTTTCAAATACAACAATGATCTAAATACTGTTTCCCTTCTCAGCTGGTTTGCAGGCAGTGGAGACATGTGTCTGTTTTGCAGTCTGCCCAACATTAAGCTAGAAGGAGACTGTTTTGAATGTGCCCTTGTAATTTAGTGAGCTAACTATAGTGGAGTAACACCTGGGATTAATTTTGCCCTGGCTGTCTGGATTACTACCAGATGTGTTTGCTAACAAGTGGGGTCTCCTTTATCATTGTTTTGTAGGTTTTTCAAAGCAGCAGTCCAAGATACAATTTTGTATCACAGGTCAAAAAGGCCTGAGCACCACTTACTACAAAAGTACTACAGTATGTCAAGACAGGACTTAAGTGTTTACACCAAACTTAGAAGCAGCACTTCTTTTGTGATTCATGATTTTTAAGTTGTTTCCAGAAGAGAGCTTCTGAAATGCTAATTATGTATAGTAACTGGAGAGTGCTCCACATATATTTCCTTCTTCCATCTAGCCTTCTCTCCACTCCATAGTTTGTAAAACTGCCTGGGAAACTTTTATTCTAATAAGGTTACAAAGGCTGCTGTCAGTAGCTAATCAGTAGCCCCGCCCCGGGAATTTTGAATTGGTGAAATGGTCTGAGTTGGTTGGAAGCTGAGGAGGAGGAGGAGGAGTTCTGTTCTTTTGGCACATCACCGTTGGGCTGCTTGCTTGCTTCTCTGTTACCTTGCCTCTGCTTTTTCAGAATGGCAGTTCAGTACAGAAAGATAAGTAAACAAATGACTAGTGTTCTTCTATCTGGAATACTAGAAAAGTGAGCAGCAAACCAACAGGAGTTTTGCCATGGTGCCTATGGGAATCTGGGCAGGAAGCACTGTTTTGCTTTGTGTGCTGTAAGGGGAAATTGTTCCTTTGCCATGGTTGCCCCCACACACACACACCTCATGAAAAGATATTCACATTCTGAGACTCTAGGACAAGTCTTGCTGCATCTGAGTATCAGTAGATTTTTTGGGGCGGGGGTAGGAATTTTTTGGATAATGCCAGATAGAACATGGATGGGGAAATATAGGAAGGCCTCAGAGCGCCAGTCTCTTTAGTATTAAATGGAAAGCCCAGCACACAGAAAACATGGATATAGGAAAGGCACCCCCCAAAAAAAAAACCTGCAACGAATGAAACATTGGAAGTTTTTACATTGGACATCTCTAGCGATAGAACATGGGTGTTGATTTGTGTGACCTCTCTGACTTTCTCAGTTGTCTGACTCAGGGTCAAATTAGAGACAACTAGAAAGTTGTTTCCCCCCCCCTTTTTGTTCTAGACCAGTGGTTCCCAACTTTGATTCTCCAGATGCTGTTGAACTACAATTCCCAGAAATCCTGGCCAGCAGAGTTAGTAGTGAAGGTTTCTGGGAGTTTTAGTCCAAGAACATCTGGGGACCCAAGGTTGGGAACCACTGCTCTAGACTAACCTGGAAGGTACACTATCTGAACTGTGACTCTAGCATGCAGGGTTAAGGGCTTGAATCCAGTGTATTCTCAGCCTGGAGTGCAGACCCTGCGTCTGTGATTTTTATTACAAAAGAGGGGGGAGGGGTTTAAATCAATAAAATATGCAAGTGCAGAGGGTACAGTTCAGATTGGAACTAGAAGTGATCGAGGTGTTAAAAGCCTTTTACAATTCCATTTTGGGCCCTTGCTCCCACTATGGAGTGAGGAAGAAATAAGACATAGCTTTAGCTTGTAGGCAGTGTCATCCTCATATATATTCATCCCTTTGGTGAACCACACAAACGCTACAGAGAGGTGTGTTGTCTTATAATTCTCTGCATTTCTCTTTGGAAAAATGAAGCTTTCAATCACTTCAAAATTGTTTCTTATTTGTTATAAAAATTGAAAGATCTTAAAAAGAACAGAAGCATAAATGAACCCTAAGGGTGTGTTTCATGACAGCAGTCCAGAGATTTATCACGTGTGAGCAGCATGCAGAGGCATACTGCCCAGTTGCTCGCCCATGGAATGGGAGTAGCTAAAGAAACCAACAAAACAAAGAGCTTTGCTGTTCTTAGCTGAACCTTCTGTCCTGACAAAACAAAGACAAAATGAATGGTTTATATCAGAATTGCATGCGGACTGGTCTTTTGGTTGGCTGCGAGAGAAACAGACCCAAGTTGGAGTTCATTTCACACGATACGTCTACTGTAGCTGTTCCTGCTGCAAGCAAAGAGCAATCAGCTTATATAAAAGGGCCAGCATTCCCGTAGTTCCTTTGATCTGTGAATGGAAACTTTAAGAAGTATTAAGTGTATACTGTGATGAATAGTGCAAGTGCATTTAGGATTTGCAGCATTGTATTAAAGCAGGACATAATTTTATTTATTTAAAAAATATTTTACTCTGCCTTTCCCTTTAAAAAGGACCCAAGGTGGCTTCTACTGTATCATTAAAGACAGTATTTTAAAGCTAACAAGAGTGAGTATACAGTTATTAAAAAGGATCAAACAAATACAATATTAAAAAGCATAAGAAACTCCAAAGGACATTCAAAGCAATAAGGTACAACAATCCATTCTCAAAGGCTTTCACAGCCAGGATCCAATGGTTGTTGAGGGTATTAAGGTTTTTCTTCCTAATGTTTTGCCAGTCTCTGTGGCTGGCATCTTCAGAGGACAGGAGTCAGAACTCTTGTCTGTGCTCTGGTGCTGTTTGTTGAATAGTTGAGTATTTATAGCTGTGGGGTCAGCTTTTGTCCTTTTCAGGCAAAATATCTAGCCACCCTCCTACAGACCCATATTGGACAAACCTCATCCTACATCCAACTTAGGACATTTCATAAGCAAGATCAGCATCCTAAAACTCAACCCCACAGACTGATTAGCTTTGATGTAGTTAAAGGTACCGATAAAGGACACTCTGACACTCCTCCAGCAGATCTTTCCAGAAGACATCAAGGCCCTTTTCCAACACTGCCTAACGACCAGCTACTTTCAGTGGGATAATGAGTTCTATGAACAGACAGATGGAGTGGCCATGGGGAGCCCCCTCAGCGCGGTTATAGCAAACTTCTACATGGAACATTTCGAAAAACTTGCCCTGGCTTTGGCACCCTTTGCACCCACAGTCTGGTTCTGATACGTGGATGACACCTTCACAATTTGGAACCATGTTGAAGAAAAACTGGAAGAATTTCTAAACCATCTCAATAGCATCCAAATATACAAGTCACCATGGAAAAAGAAATAGAGGGCCATCTCCCTTTCTTAGATGTCATGTTCATATGCAAAACTGACCTCCTATTGGGACACAAGGTCTACAGAAAACCCAGTATCCTGTCTTTCTGGAATGGGACTTGGGGCACTGTTGTACAGTGACTCTAATCCTTCCTGGAGGAGATAACTCAGAAAGTGTTGCTGGGACATTTATGTTTGACACCCTGAGGGCTGAGCTGTGGGGTCCCTCAGGGTTCCATTTTGTCTCCTATGTTATTTAACATCTATATGAAACTACTGGGAGAGATTATCCAGAGTTTGAGGGCTTGGTGTCACCAGTATGCAGATGACACCCAACTCTACCTCTCTTGTCACCTAAACCTGAGGAAGTTGCATCGGCTCTAGATCAGTGTTTGGTATCAGTAATGGACAGGATGTGGGTGAATAAATTAAAACTTAATCCAGACGAGAGAGGGGCTCCTGGTCAGTCGAAAGGCAGATCAAGGAACAGGGATGCAGCTGGTACCTGATGGGATTACACTCCCATTGAAAAAACAAGTGTACAACTTGGGGATGCTCCTGGATTCATCCCTGAGCCTGTATGCCCAGCACTAGCCAGAAGTGCATTTGCACAGTTAATACTAGTGCACCAGCTACATCCATTTAGATAGATAGATAGATAGATAGATAGATAGATAGATAGATAGATAGATAGATAGATAGATAGATAGATAGATAGATAGATAGATAGATAGATAGATAGATAGATAGATAGATAGATAGATACTGTCATAAAGCAAAGGGTTCTGTTTATATACCGCCCCATAGTGCTTCAAACACTCTCTGGGCAGTTTACAAGTTAATTATGTAGGCTACACATTCCCCCCCCCCCCAGCAAGCTGGGTACTCATTTTACTGACCTCGGAAGGATAGAAGGCTGAGTCAACATTGAGCCGGCTACCTGGGATTGAACCCCAGGTCGTGAGTACAGTTTTGGCTGCAATACAGCAGTTTAACTGCTGCACCACAAAGCTCTTACTGTACAGACCAGAATCTTGTTGCTTTTGTATGCTAGTGAGTGATGAGGAAGAGAAGTGGCAACTCCATCGTGAAATGGGAACATTTCTGGTAATATTCTGATCATTTTTTTAAAAAGATCTGTAGAGTCCTTTCATTCTCCCAAGTAATGCTGAATCAGATTTTTTTAAATGTTTTATTTTGCAGAAAGCCAAGGCTCAGAGTGACTTTTTCTGTATATTCCATATGTAGTAACCTGTTTTATTAACATTACGGAAATTGCTGGTATATGCTTTATTTGTGTAGCTACTATAGGGCCACCTGCTAATTGTGCTTATTTGGGCTGTCTAACACAGGGAACATAGATCATATCTCTGAAAGAACATTTCAGCACTTAGAAACTAGGATGTGTTAATAGAAATGTACAAATTTATGAAGTTTAAATATGATTTCTGGATAGTAACACTGGCACAACCACTAATCATCTCCATTCACCACTTCAGTTCTGTGTTGTTGCTGCTTTAAATTTCCCATAGTTTTTATAAAAACTGTGCAGCCTAGTCTGTGTCTTTAAGGTTTGCTAATACAGTAGTCATAACAGGTCTTTGCTGCATTAGGTAATTATGGTCACCTCCGTATTATGAATTCCTAATTCATTTTGTAGTCCACATGCATTTATAGGTGAAGTTCACTAAGTCATTTTAACCGTAAAGTAGCAGTATCATCTCTTAAGAGTATTTCCAAAAGAACTATAGTGTATCTGGCAAATTCTGTGCCATGGTGTTTTAAGAATTCAGCCATGTTTCTTTGTTGTGATTGGTTGCTTGGTGTAGTCTTTTTGTTTTGAAAACAGAAGCATGTAATCAGACTTTTGGTTCTGCTTCACTGTTTTTATGTTTCCCATTGCTTCATAAACATGTTCACAGAAACTAATTAATACATCTAACTAGAGAATGTTCTCTCCCTCAAACTCTTTAGTTGAAAAGCCACCACTGCTGTCACCAAGGAGACCTCATGGAAAAGCTCCCTTGCCACCATCAGACCCAAGAAAACCATTACAGCCGCCTGAGCCAGGAACACCTCTGACACCATCACAGCCAAGGACTCCATTACAGCCGCAAGCGGGAGACCATCTGCAACCAATACAGCCAAGAACAGAACCTCACATTCCAGAGCTAAGAATACCTTTGCAACCACCACCTCCGCAAGTAATCATACAACCACCATTACAAGGCATACCTTTCCAGCCACATTTGAGACAGCCACCATTACCAGGATCAAGATCAGGCATGCCTTCCTTGCCTGGGAAAAGTGGGATATTTATGGTAACTGGAGAGGCAGGCCCTCCTGGTGCTGTCCTAATGTCAGGAAAAGGTCGGCCAAAAAGTATAGATGGCCAAGATGGGCAGTACAGTATGGCTGTTTCAGAAGGATATGCTGGAGCACCAGGTGAGCAAGTTAGAAGTTTTTTTTTCCTGAGGGCTCCTTCTGTACTGTTATTGACTAAATGATCTTTCTTCTGGTGGGAATCCATTGATCAGATTCTCTGTTTAAAAGGGGACTGTTAGATCCTGTCAGGTTCCCGCCTGTCCCTTGGCTGTTTCACCAAACAAAGGCACAAGCAACGTGTCATTCAACTGCCACCAGTTGATTACATCAACTTTATTTACTGTTAATGACAGAGGTCCAGGTGACATACCATTTAAGAACCAAGTAGAAATTTTTTATTGTTACAGGTGATAACAGTCCAGTCAATATAATTAACTCTCCACTAAAACAACCTTCTCCCTTCACTCTTAACTGGCTACTCTAACTCTCTCTTCCACCTAACTCTGCCCCTCACCAACTCCTATTGGTGCATGCAAATTTCCACATAAATATTAATGAGCAGGGTGAATGCTACAGATCCATACCAACAACTTGGATCTAAACAAACTGTACCAAGCAGCAATGCAGAAGGGTCATGTCACAGACTCTGGAGCTGACACTTGCCTAATCCCATTCTTAGGGAAAGGCTCCCTCTTTATCTTATATGTGGGAGCTAGCTTCCTTATTCCTCAGTAACAAATTACGCATTGTATGTTCTCAAAGCTGCTTTCTTATTGTATCACACAATCTCTCTATCCTGGCACTGAAAACAGATTGAAGGTTTTAAGTTCTAATACTCTGAATCAAGCTTGGTTTTTAGTACCCTCCCATGAAATAATTTTGCTAGCAATCCACCCATTCATTCATTTTTCCATAGTTCAGAAGGAAGCCTGTAAGGTAACCACAGCATCCCAGTAATTGATGGCCTTGTAGCAGTTCGTATTGAAAATAATATACATCTAGTATGATCTGCCCTGAGAACTCTAGCGTTCACAGTTCTCTCCATCCAGTCCCAAGTCCCTTTCCCATATTTTCTTTGAACTTTTACCCCCAAGGTGTGAAGATAGTAGCAGTTCTTCTCTGCTGGATCATTGCTTATCTCTGACAATTCCCAGCTGACAGGCATCAACTTCTGCCTCTGTGTCCTTTTTTTTCTTCACTCTGTCATTCCGGAGAAGGGGGAATGAGAATACTTCAAGCACAGCTCTTTAGATTCTTCATTACAGAGAGCAGTAATCAAACAACTGAGTTTTGGAGTGATGCCACTGGCTCCAAAAGGATCACTCCAAAAATTATTTGAAAGTTACAGAAGTACTGTATTGGTGCTGGAATGAACATATGATAGGGCAGGGGAGCAGTGTGGTGTGGAGAAATGTAAGACTGTAGTATCATATCTTTTTCATGCATACTTGTTTTGCAGGTTATCCAAAATCACAACCCAAACCACAATCTCCACCTAAGACCACACAAGGTAATCCAGTTGTTCTTCAGAATTTGCCAGGGTTGAGTTGCTAATACTTTCAATCTGCTTGCTGGTGTTACTGAAGTACTGTATACAAGTTTGCTGTTTAAGAGAATGGGTGTTCCTTTTTAGCTGTTTGCAAAGAAAATCTTAAGAGTGTTCTAGTTTTTATCTGAACAGCAACTTACAATAAGAAGTTGAAAATGGGCACATGAGCAGAATAATTTGTGAAAAAGCAACTATTATGAGTGCAACACATAACAATTCTGGGAACTGTAGTCCAGGAATATCAGGGGATCTAAGATAGGGAACCACTAGTTTAATATCAGTATCTTTGGATTTGTACTTATTTTGTATCATAAGATGCATACAGATCCAGACATCTGTGTCTGATACACTTTATTATAACCATACAAGGACAGACACAGAGGAGCTTAGCTCAATAGAGTAATAATGCACCAAGATCAGCAACTCCGTGTACTGTAATTGATTGTTGACATATTCCAGACCTCTCTTTAGAGGTAACTGTAAAACATGGAGAGAGTGCTGTAAAATATGCAAAAAGTACAACTCAATGCTCCTAATGCTTGGATAAACTCATCTTGCTCATGATAGGTTGTTTGTGGATTCATCATCACTGGGAAGTCTTAAATAAAATAAAGATTTGAATAGCTGCAAACTTGATTATGCTTTTATGCTGCACTTATATGTGTTAAATATCATTTATAACTGTAATAACAGAATATTGTAGAAGATCAGAACAAATGTTTACATTATTCTTATCAGTAATGTACTAAAATTATGTAGCCTTCAAACAGGTTGTAAATCTGTGGAGGTAACTTATCTTAAAATGAATGAATGCTATCGCTTAAACATCTAGGTACTTCCTAACAGATGGCAGGTACTGCTCACAAATAAAAGGGCTTGGGCAGCTATTCCATCCTTTTTTCCTTAATGGCTTTTCTTTGGTAAGGAAAAAAAGATGGGAGAAACAATAAGTTACAAATTGACATTTTTGGCCAGAATCTTATTACCAGCTTAAGCTTATGTAAGGGAAGCTGCTAACTCATGGGGGCAAATTGCATGCTGTTCACATTGCAAAAAGATTCTTAGAGAGGAGCATTAAATAAGTAACACAATGGACTGATTACATTGCAAGAATAAAAGAAAATGGCTGTGGAAATGTTTAACTTTAGATGACTTAAGATTATATAAAAAACCAATTTTAAATACAATGTGTTTGTAGTACAGGTACATGCAAAACATGTGCACTAATACTTTAAAAGTAATTATTCTGCTACACATTCATATTTTTCTTTAATATAGATGAATTCCAACAATGTAAAGTTTATGATTTATTTATTTATTTATTTAAAATATTCTAACTGTGTATTTCTCCTTATAAAGAATTCAAGGTGGCTTACATCATTAAAAGATAGTAGGCAGGAAAACAACAGATGCACAAATATAGAAAAAGTTACACTTATCTGGGAGTGTAACATGTATGAAGAAGGTCTAGAAGTCTTATTAGACCATAGGCTAAATGTACATAATAGTGTGATGTGGAGGCTAATGCAATTCTAGGGTGTTCTAACAGAAGTAGTGTCCACATCTATTCTGCCAGATATCCATCTGTCAGAGATGCTTTTGCTGTAAATTTCCTGCATTGGCAGAGAACTGGCATGGATACCTTGTACTTGGCATATTTTATGTAGGAGATAATTTTACAGATATTGTGTGTGATTGACAAATTTATTTTTAGAAAGTAAAGCCGGGGAAGAGAAGAAAATCCAGGTCCACTAGTATTTGGAATTACAGTTTTCTAAGTTTGCTAGGCAAACTTCTCTTTTCAGAAGAACAGGAAATAGAGCTGCACATGCATGACATGTGAGGAGGATCTTGGAAGTGTTATAGTGGAACCAGTTACCTTAGGAAGTGGTAAACACTCTAATGCTGGAGGCATTCAAGAGAAAAATAGATAATGATCTGTCAAATCTACTTTGATTTGGATTCCTGCAATGAGCAGGGGGTTGTCAGTCCCTTTCAGTTTAATTATTCTAGGATTCTATGACTTTGAACTGGATTGAAAGATTTTTTTTTCATTTTGTGCTTATGGATTCCTACAGTAGCACTGAAATAAATGTGACTTTAAAATATGTAACTTCTGCACTTTGATGGATACTAATTAGAGATAGGCATTAACTGAACCACAAACCAGAAAAAAAATGATGAACCACTCTAGTTTGCAGTTTAGTTCGTGACCCAGTTCGGTGATCACATTTTGCCAAAGCAAAATGAAGCACTGAACTCCCCCCCCCTTTTGCTTCATTTTGCTGTAGCCCATTCATCCCACTGACCTTGTCACCACCTTTCAATCTGGTCCTGCCACCACCACCCCTTCACTATCCTCCCAGGCAGCAGGCCTGGCTTCCCTATTAGGAGCTGCAGGGCTGTCTCGGTGCATGTGCTCACCACCAGCTCATTGCCAGCAAAGCCTGGCAACCAGTTAGTTGGTGGATACATGTCAGCTGGCTTCTTCACCCCTGCCATCGCCTTTCTGGATGGCCTGAGGAGGCCATGGCAACAGCGAAGCCAGCCATAGGAACAGGGTGGCTACCTCGGTGCCTATGCCTGCTGGCGAACTGGTTGCCAGGGAAGCCCAGCATTTACTAAAACCTGGCTCCTCTGGCTGGCTTCTCCACCACCAATATGGCCTCCCCAGGCAACACAGGGAGGCCGAGGCAATGACAGTGGTGGCAGGCAGGTAAGTCAGGCAGAGGAGGAACAGAGATGGGCACAAACAGCCATGAACCAATTTGTTTTCTGAGTGATTCATGGTGGTTCAGGTTTTGTGGTTAGGCACGGACCATGAACTATGACAAGCCTCCATTTTTCTGGTTCATGCCCATCTCTAGTACTAATTGCAATTAATTTAGTTCATTCCATGTAATTTTGTAATAGCGCAAATATGGTGTTGCTTTAGAAATCTATATAACAAGCCCCTCTGAAGAAATTGTTTACAAGGCAGGCACTGCTACCATGTGCCGCTTTAAAACAATTCTGAAAAACAGGTAATGTATCCATCCTACTGTTGTTTAGTTGTTAAGTCATGCCTGACTCCTCATGACCCCATGGACCAGAGCATGCCAGGCCCTCCTGTCTTCCACCGCATCCCGGAGTTTAGTCAAAGTCACGTTGGTCGCTTTGATGACACTGTCCACCCATCTCGTCCTCTGTTGGCCCCTTCTCCTCTTGCCTTCACGCTTTCCCAGCATCAGGGTCTTTTCCAGGGAGTCTTCTCTTCTCAGGAGATGGCCAAAGTACAGTATTGGAGCCTCGGCTTCAGGATCTGCCCTTCCAGTGAGCACTCAGGGTAGATTTCCTTCAGAATTGATAGGTTTGTTTTCCTTGCAGTCCAGAGGACTCTCAAGGGTCTCCTCCAGCACCACAATTCAAAAGCATCAATTCTTTGGTGGTCAGCCTCTTTATGGTCCAGCTTTTACTTCCATACATCGCTACTGGAAAAACCATAGTTTTGACTATGCGGACCTTTGTCGGCAAGGTGATGTCTCTACTTTTTAAGATGCTGTCAAGGTTTGTCATCCATCCTGTTAGAGACTTCTTAGTTAATCATCTGAGAGTGAAAGACATAGAAATACTTACCATGGGATTTTGCCTTTCATCAGAATTGCCTTTCATTCCCACATCCAGAAGTGAAATAACTTTTATGTTCAGGGACTGATTTATTCCAAGCACTCTTAGCAACAGGCAACTGACTTTGACTCAGTGATCAGGCTGAGTCATCATTTAACATTAGCTGACTCAGGAGTTCTTTTTGACAGGCTGCGCAATAGGACAGGGTAAGTATTGCAATCCAAATTGCAGATTATTAGTAAGGTTAAACGTAATAGATTACCTCTTGTCAGTTATAACAGTGAAGATGTTGCCAGGAAGCTGCAGTTTCAATAGTGTGCTGAAGTATTCATTTGAGAAAAAAGGGCTTTGTGTACACAGTGCTTTTCATGCTATATGAGTCTAAATGATGCTCATTTTTACATTCTAGGAGCTTTAACTTCACCGGTATCATTTTCTGCTGGTCTCACACAGAAGCCTTTCCCCAATGGCATGGGTGTTGTTCATTTTAACAAAGTGCTTGTAAATGATGGAAACCATTATAATCCTAACACAGGTAGGACAATTGATGATGACTATCTGGGTAGTGCCTCTGGAATTAGTATTCTGCCTGCTTAGTGCTGTAAAATTTAACACAACAGACTCTAGCCTTTTCAGATTGGATTCACCTTTAAATACAAATAGTGAGTTGCTCCTAATGTTTTGCTCACACTTCAATTTTTTTCTTCTCAGGCAGCCAGATGGGAAAAAAAGGTTCCATAGAGTTGTGTAGAAATGGGTTCTTGATATACGCTGCTTGTCATGCAAGATGAGAAAAACATCCCCTGTTGGAGGGGGAAATCAAAACCCCTTTCTATACAATTATTAGAGATTAAGGCATGATTTGAAACATATTGCATGAAGACCAACAAATTAACACATACATGGCAATTCAATCCGTTACAGATAACTTTATTTGTTCTTTCCAAACAGTGTAAATGTATAGATATATTTAAACAATGAGAATATATTGTCACTTGCAGGGGGGAAATTGCCGTGACTTCTTCTGCCTTGTTGACTCTGACAGCTGAAACTAAGTAGAAATCCTTTGATTTAGAACAATTAACTTCTACCAAGTATGAGTAGCTCATCTGAGTGGGTCCATTTTGAACCATTTTGTTCTCATGGAGCTGATTTGCAGAATGTCATTCCTTTTTGTTTAGGATTCAAATTAATAAATGTAACATGAGCTAAGTTAATATACATTAAGGGCAGGGAGTGTATTTTCCTCCAACTGTTTTGAATTTTAATTCCAATCAGTCCTAGGGGGCACAGCAGATGATGAGGGCTGAAAGAAGCTTCATTCCAATACAGTGGTTCCTCGCTTCATTCCAATACAGTGGTTCCTCGCTTAACGATTACCTCATTAAATGATGAATCCGCTTGACGATGAGGTTTTTGCGATCGTAAAATGATGTTTTAATGGGTAAAATTCGCTTAACGATTGATTCCCTGCTTCAGGAACTGATTTTTCGCTTAATGATGGTCTGAAAACAGCTGATCAGTGGCTCTCAAAATGGCTGCCTGCTGTGCAAAATGGCTCCCCACTGTTTTTAGGACAGATTTTTTGCAAGAGAGGCACCGGAAAATGGCCGCCCTATAGAGGATCTTCACTGGACGATTAGGTATTAAGCCCATTGGAACGCATTGAGCAGTTTTCAATGCGTTTGAATGGGTTTTTCCCCTGCTTGACAACGATTTCGCTCTACAGTGATTTCGCTGGAACGGTCGTCAAGCGAGGCACCACTGTATATGGAGAGTTCCACATAGCCCATTCCTTCCCAAAAGTATGAAGGTTACAGCCAAGATCCTAATTCCAGATTTTGGTTTGGCCTATTATGTTGCAATTTAAAAAAAAACTTGCAAAGTAGCAGTTTAAAAAAATGAAATAAAATGAAATTGCATTACTTATTTCCAGATGATCTTTCCAAGGCTGCAAGATCTTTCATACTTAGGTGATGCTGTAGCTGCTCTAAGCTATGCAGAATTACATAGGCATTCAGAATGCCTCCCCCTCCCCTGCCCGCAGAATTCTTCAACTGAAGTGGCAAAATGGGACAATGCACTGGTGGTGAACTCCCTAGAAACAGACAAAATTGCATTGCTCTCTATGTATTTGGGAGCTGCTAATGAAATCAGAATCATGTCAGTGAAGAAAAATGTACAGTAAGCATGTGGAGGAGCTGAGGGAGAATGAATTCATCTGTAGCCTAAGATGACTAATTTTGCTTCATTGCTTATGTACTTTCATAACAATGGGGGAAAAGTAGGAATTGACCATATGCCACTCAATACTCTACTTTTGTTCATATCTGATGGTCTGCTTTTATTGCAGGCATCTTCACGTCACCCTATGATGGTCGTTATCTGATCACAGCTGTTCTAGTTCCTGAGAGGGATGATTATGTAGAAGCTGTGCTTTCTGTTTCCAATGCAAGTGTTGCTCATCTCCACACAGCTGGCTATAGAAGAGAGCTGCTTGAATATCACAAACCAAGATCAGGGAAACGGACATGTGGTGGGACTGGAGCTTTCCATCTTGTTCTTCACCTCAAATCTGGAGCAGAAGTCAGCATTGTAGTTACAGGAGGCAAGCTGGCCTATACAGATACTGATGAAATGTATTCCACATTCAGTGGGATTTTCCTATACCCTTCCATTTCTCATTCATAGGAGATGCTTGAGAAGAAGAGGGCTAAGCTAATACTGAAGGTAGCAGTGGTAATAAATGGTAAAATGTTCAGATTTCATTTGTTTCCTTTTCTCCACAGCTTCAACTGCAGTCTTTACACAGCCTTATCTAGTGTAAGTCTCACTGAATTCAATGGGTTTCTGTCTGTGTACAAACGAACAAGATTGCACATTGTACCTTTCCTCTTATCTGTCTTTCTTATTATGGATGTGGATATTTAAGCACACTGAAAGAGAAAAGTATTTTCTATGCATATTGATGTAAAATGTTCAATAGATTCTTTGTGCAACATTCGCCGAGTTATAAAAGAGAGAACACAATGGAAAGTGGAAGGCAAGGAAATTTTAGGGTTAAACACTGTTTAAAGTTATTTTTCATTATCCCTATACTTGGTGGGTAAAATGGTAGAACAAAGAATCAGAGAGCCTCGGTTCTCTTAAGTCTGAACTATGGACTTCATATATATCATCTAGTAAAGGGGAGGGAAGCATTTTTGTTGTTGTTGTTGTTGAATCATGTTCCATTGGTCATGTCTGTTGCAGACCACAATTCAGTGTTGGTTATGGCTCACAGTGAAAATCTGAAGAATTACTGCCTATTTTCTCTCTGCCTAAAAATTGCCAAAGGAGGGATAAGACACCTGATTTAATGGCTTTCCAAGGACTTTTGAAATGTCATTTCAACCCATTCTAGTATCTGTAAAACATGTCTGGAAATGAACATTGCCTGTCCTGTTGCTGATGGAGGATTGAGTGTAACAGATACTTGCTTGAGGCCACTCAGTGAGTTCATTGCAGACATAAAATTTAGGAGTCATTCTGATCCATAACTGTATCTTAGCCATTATGCTGTGATGCTAAATGTTGATACAGACTTCTGATATTTTTTGAGAGGAATCCTCTAATGCTATTTTTCTCTCTGTTGTCACTAAAAGTACCTGGTGCTATTTTTATAATGCAGCATCTGACATTTGCATCATCAACTGGTTTAGTTTCTATAAGTAAATGTTTTCTGTTCCCATGGAGCTAGTTCACACAATACTGTCTTCAGTTGTTACAAGTGTACACATTTTCATATGAGAAAAAACAGGAAGAAAAACAAGCCTTAAACAACTCTTACGAACTTGTGTCTCTTCCTCTGTCATATCTTTTCTTGGTAGCAGACTATGCTTTAAAAAACAAACCCTGCCCAAGACACACCCTGTTTTCTTTTTTCCTGCATAATGAACTATTAGGAGTATTAATCTGTTTTTATAGAAAAGATCCCTCATGAAGTGGGTTCATAAGAATCTCTCATTAATCTTCTTACTTGAGATCTGAGAAAGCATTATACTTTTCTTAGTTCTGTGAACCAGTCCCTAAAGATTTGTTTCCAGGCAACATAAAGCAAACCTCATCCTGAATGCTGAGCTCACACTCTTAAGCCAATACATCAGCTGTACAAAAATGTTTCCTGTACATGTGACTTATTGTTTCATAAGAACTACGTGCTTCCAATACACTCCCTTTATATTGTATTGTTTCACAATATGCGGTGGGGGGAACAGTATGAATTTAATATATGTGGGGTGAAATCCTTTTACACAGTTATGCAAATAGCCTAACTTTTAGAAGTGAATTGCCCAGGTGAAGAAATTTCTGTTGACATTACCTGTTGCATACTGAGTTGCACAATTCAGCATACTGTATGCCAGGTAAGGGCTATGGAAGTTTTTTAATTGACAGCAGTTTCCCTCTAAAAGTAACAACATTGTGTAAAGTGTATAATAGGATTTTAGTTGGCCTTGATTACCATGCTTATTTTTTCCAGTTTGATGACTGTTTTAAAAAATGTACACAGAACTCTCTCCTGGAGAAAATACAGTGAAGCTGAAGCTATGTGCTGCTGTTCTATGTTATAGAAGTTCTAGGTTATGGCCTGAGGGTGCTTTGACTTCTCCATTTTGGACTTGGCTTTCCTATATAATGTAACCAGAAGCTATACAAATAGAATTTGGGCATGAACATTGCCAGGATGTCATTACTATTGTGCATAATGGAAAAGACTAGACTTACTGCTTCTATTGTGATCAACTGCCTATTTCCTTTACTGTTGAAGGTAATTTTGATGTCCGAAAATTTAGTGTTCGCAGCCTGAGATTCAGCCTGTTTATCCAATTTCTCAGGTGTAACAAAATCCTGAAAGATATTCCTTCAAATATTCTCTTTCTTACTACAGTAGTACCTCGGTTTACAAAAACCTCAGTTAACGTAATTTTCGGTTTGTGAACAGAAACCCATTGAAAATAATGCCTCGTTTACTTTTTTTTTCACAGTACGAAGCAAGTTTTCCTAGAGGTTTATAGTGCTGCCCCCATGTTCCTATGGCAAACCGTCTTTTGGTTTATGAATTTTTCGCATTATGTAACATCCCAGAGAACACATTAAATTCATAAACTGAGGTACGCCTATACAGTGGTGCCTCGCACAACGATTGCTTCATACAACGATGAATTCACACAGCGATGGGTTTTTTTGAGGAATTTTCCCCATTGTTTAACGATGTTCTCTATGGGGGAATTTCACTTAACGATGTCCCTTTTTGCTCATTTAAAAGTGTCTTAAAATGTTTGAAACCTGTTTTAAATGCTTGGATTCCATAGTGCACCTTGTGAAACATGTGCAAACTTAATTTGGTTTTGTTCTGAGTCTTCATTAATTTTTGATGATTTTTTTATTTTCCCCATTTAAATCAATTGAATGGACAGTTCAATTCATTTAAATAGGGAAAACAAAAAATCACCAAAAATTAAGGACGACTCAGAACAACACCAAATTAAGTTTGCATAGGGTTCAGGAGGTGGGCTAACAATTGCAAGCATTTAAAACCTGTTCCAAACATTGTAAGACACTTAAAAATGAGCGAAAAGGGACATCGGAAAAGACTTCAAAAGCACTGAAGCCAGCTTCAGAGCTTTTGAAGCTCTTCCGTTTTTGCTCATTTTTAAGGGTCTTACAATGTTTGGAACAGGTTTTAAATGCTTGCAATCGTTAGCCCACCTCCTGAACCCTATGCAAACTTAATTTGGTGTTGTTCTGAGTCGTCCTTAATTTTTAGTGATTTTTTGAATTTTCTCTCATTGGAATGCATTGGACGGAAAACGGAAGAGCTTCAAAAGCACTGAAGCCGGCTTCAGTGCTTTTGAAGCTCTTCCGTTTTCGCTCATTTTTAAGGGTCTTACAATGTTTGGAACAGGTTTTAAATGCTTGCAATCGTTAGCCCACCTCCTGAACCCTATGCAAACTTAATTTGGTGTTGTTCTGAGTCGTCCTTAATTTTTGGTGATTTTTTGAATTTTCTCTCAATGGAATGCATTGGACGGAAAGTTCAATACATTCCAATGAGAGAAAATTCAAAAAATCACTAAAAATTAAGGACGACTCTGAACAACATCAAATTAAGTTTGCATAGGTTTCAGGAGGTGGACTAACCATTGCAATCATTTAAAACAGTGTCCAAACATTGTAAGACACTTTTACAGGAGCGAAAAAGGACTTCGCAAAGGCATTGAAATGTATTGAGTCGGCTTCAATACATTCCAATATAGGAAACATTGTTTCACTCAACGATGTTTCCTATGGGGATTTTCACTGAACGATGGCAATCTGTTCCAATTGGAACAGATTAACCAGTTTTCAATTCATTCCTATGGGAAATGGTGTTTCACAGAACGATGTTTCACACAACGTTGATTTTTTTGGAACCAATTAACATTGTTGTGTGAGGCACCAGTGTAGTAGAAAAGTAGAATGTGATACTACTCCACAAGCTTGGGAAATATGGTGCTTGTTGACTGCAATGATTTCGCTGAACTGCATAGTTGGGAGCTGTTTTCATGCATTGCTGGCACCTGTATATGCATATTTGATTTTACAGCAGAAGGAAAGTTTTTCAAAATGGATCTTCACCCCACTCCTACAGTGATTCAGAGCCTTTGCATCCTCTCATCAGCTAGAATACAGCTGTGTGTGGTGACAGATTCTTTGAACAAGATCATCAAGTTCATCTTGTATCCAGGATAACTTATCTCCTCACCAATTATGTGTTATAATTATGTATGTTATTATAAGGCCAAAGATCATTTTGAGCTCTACAGGAAGCTGTTTTGAATGCATAGAGAAGAAACAAGCTTAGGTGAAATATTACTGTCAATTTTATTAAATACAGCAAAGTGGTATTATTTTTAAACAGACACAGTCTTTACAAAAAAACACTGTGTGAGAATATTCACTGATTTACCAGTAAAGTTCAGTTAAAGCAAAAAATTGTTCATAACAATTAAACAAAGTATTGAAGAGTTCTGTTCCCTTACATTCGGAATCAATCAACATGCAGATTTATTCTAAAAACCTGTATCTCAACATGTTGCTGATTAACAAAAGCAACTTTCTTAGCTAAAAGGAAAGGCTCAAAAGCATTACTTTGGATGTATATTTCTTATTGTTAAGAACTCTATTCACTGTATTTAACACTTCAATGATCATAGTTATACTAACATAAACTGAATTCACTTTGAATGTTTCCAATTCTAAGTAAGGTAATTTAGCCATTAAGACTTTTCCAGATAAGACTAAATTCTTGAAACAGTATACTAATAACAACAGAGAAGTTTTTTCAAGGATCATATCTGCTGCTTTATGTACCAGGAATACTTTTGAATTTCTCTCTCACTCACTCACACTCACACAAATACACTCCTGCAAATACAAGGCTGAATACAACATTTAAATCCCAAACCATACACTGTGATACAGAATAACTTGATTGTTATATTTTAATCTAAGTGCTGCAGAGATATTAAAACAGTCATATTCACCTTATATGACAAAGTCCAAGAAAGTAATTGGAGAGGTGCAGCAGAAACTGTTCAAAAACATTTCCAAAGTAAAACAAAATGTAATTTAAAAAAAACATTAAGATTGCTTGTTCTTACGCACAAATCGGTCTCTTTCACAGAAAGAATAAGCTACGATGCTGATCTGAAATAGATGTAGTACAAGCTTTGTTTCCCAAAACCAGTTTCAAGCCATCCATTACCACTGCAGCAAGGAAATAGAATCAAGAGGAGCTCAAAGAGACGATTAGCCAGTGCCCCAATATTGCTGTTTACCATTAGCCTGCTCTAGAGTCACTGAGGTAGGATCCAAACTTACTGTATAATGGTCTACATAGTACTATCTTAAGTGAGACCAAGAGATGATAAACAATAGCATACCATTGTTAGAAGTGCATATGTATTTCCAACTGTTTGGATCGAGATGACTCAAGAGCACTCTTCAGCATTAAACATATGAGTAACAAATTTTGGTCTGCTTATAATTATAAAAGGGAAATATTCCAGAAGTCTTTTGGAAATTCTTAACATTCAAAAGCAAATGCAGATTTTCTATTCCAACCACTTTGTCACAGAAATATTCACTTCAGCCAATGCTATTGTTGGTTTCTGAAGGAGCAAGATGATGTACTACAAATAATGTAATTGTTACTAAAAGTGTGGAATACAGAGGAAGAAACCAAGGCTTTCTAGTCAAGCTAGAATATCCATCTAGCAGACGTCAAGCTTCCAGAGTGCTTACAGAATGCAAGGAAATAAAGTAAACAAAGTTTATATTCTGAAATAAATTTTATCCAGTATTGGCAGGTTTTTTTTAACAAGAATTTTCTAATTTGTACTTTCTTGTGTTGGGAAATGTATACATTGTTGCTGTATTGAATTAATGCCTAAATCGGAGTGGGGAAAATTCAGCCCTCCAAATGAGAATTCCTCCACCCATTACACCTCTTCATTGTCCAAGCTGGAACGGGTTGATGGAAATTGAAAATTAACATCTGGAGAACCACAGATTCTACAGCCCCACTCTAACTGGAGAATCTTTTCAAACACTCCAGATTAACCCACAGTTTAATAAGCTATATTTCACATGGATCACTATTCATATGTGTACTTGTGGGGTGCGTTGGTCTACAAATCTCATACATTTCCATCCTGGGAATCCCAAATGCCAGACCCATATTTTACAGACACCTATATTGTGCTCACCTGGAGAGAAAGCCCAGCTAGCAGTTGTCATTGCTGGGGTAGGCCTAACCTCCTATTTGAAAAGGAAGCTTCCTAGCAATAATCAAGACCACTGTCTTTTCAAATAGGAAGTTGGGCCTATCCCAGCAATAAGGCTCCAGGTGAACATAATTTAGGTGTCTGTACGGCCTGAGTCTGGCAGGTGGGTCTTTCAGGATGGAGAATTATGGGATTTGTAGTCCAAAAATCTAAAATGCACATCCCTATTCACTACTGCTGTAATTACACAAGAGATTTCCAAGTCTTCCATTATATTTCCTGATCATATGTCCTAAGAACCAAGCCACTAATTTGGACACTCAGAAAGATCTCCATGAATGAATGTATCCAAAGACAAGAGTAGCATCTAGTTTTTAAGCTTGTATCACCCCAAATGACCCAGCATAAAACCATAATCAGCAGTAAACCTGAAGGTGAAGCTTTACAGTTCATATCAGACATAGAACACATAATATCAAAATGTCTACCTCAGACGTTGACAATAGTGGTTCTTTGCATTTTTGTATTACAACTCCCATCATTTCCAGTCAGCACAGCCAAAAGTGAAGAATTATGGGAACTGTAGAACTATTGCTATTATTTATATAGAATATAAACTTTTGTTTATATGGAAGCTTCACATGATGCAAAAAGGACTAGCCATTCCCAAGTGGTGCCAGTGTTTCATCTCTGTCCATTCTCAAGATCTGACCCTAAGTACATGTTATATACTGACCTGAAAAATTTAGCTGTCAGATAATCTCTGCTGGTTTCATAGGAAGCTATGACTGCCTGGCAGGAAATTGGCTGAAAACTGTTTATTTACATATATTATTTCATCTTGTAGCTTTGTGCAAAAATGGAAAAAACAGGCAGAAGAATGAAAAGTAAGCAGCTATTTCAATCAGGAGTTCACACAGCTGAATAATATGTGTAATCTTAGTTATCAGACATGAAATGTATAGCTGATGCACAGCATTCTTCATTTGGACCCTACTGTTCGGTGTCACTTTTGTCAATCTGACAAACCCTGATACAGAGTTCTGTAATAACATAGAAGTATTCCCAGTTTTCAAAGATTAATATACAGTACCTTCGTGATATAAAACAAGCCTTTATCCCTGAAAATTTTATGTTGCCTAGTTCTCTATACACTGCATACACAGCAAATGCAATTAAGAGATAACTGCAAAGATGATCTTACCACTTTGTAGACCTCCAATGTCACACAACAGCGTATAAAGTTTAAAAAAATGCTGCAAGTAACAAAAATTATCTGAGACAGCCAAATCACTATGTGTAATATTTTTAAAAATGGAAGAAGCAGAGCAATCATGATTGGAAGCTAATATAAGCATCCCCACTTCAATCCTCAGTTCCTGCGAGACACAGTAAAACTGAGAATGTCCACTAAATACATATATATTGTTTGGTAAAAGACATTTTTACTGAATTGAAATGTCAGATGCTGCCTCTGGAAACAGCTTTAGTGCTAACTTAAATACGATCCCTGTAATCGGCTTAAAGTTTTTGCAATCAACTCTACACACTTCTCTGCTTTCTTTGAGATAATATATTAAGGAAACTAGTATATGAAACATACGTCCACTGTAATTTGTATATGTGAAGATGCACTAAATTCCCATCTTTTTTCATCTTGTCATCATGACGGGTCTGTTATTTCAAAGGATAACAATCTTTTCAATGCCTTGAATCAATCAGTGAGAATGTCTGAAGAACATAGATCAGCCTTGCATTTCACTGGTGTGTGCCAGACCAATGGCACTTCCTGTATTTAGTAAGACATATGGTACTGAAAGGACAGTTATAGTCTGTAGGCGGAAGTTATGTGCAAAGAGTGCTGTTCAAGATAAGTCTTCTACGTTCACCTCAGGAAGCTGCTGTCTCCAATAGCAGAAGGAGCTGAATTCTGGACATACAAAAGCAGAGTTCTGTTCTTTATTAAGAAGTGGAAACACATGTTCCACGAGTTCACTCAGTCTGCAATATCTGTGTTTAAAAGCAAAAAGAACCATTATTTTTTATCCTTGCTTTTTAAAATTCAGCAGTCTTATGTATGTCTACCAGAGGTATGACCTGCTGCATCTAATAGGAACTATTCTCAGTGTTGCAGCCTAAATAGAATCCAGCAATGTTAAAGAGAAATGTGAAGGTCTGGCCTTGTGCATGTTCACATTTAACCCTCCCCCCACAAAATTTCAATCATTTTTAGGAATGCCATTTTAGAGTACAGTTCCTCATTTCTTTAGTAAATGTACTATTTAAATGTGTAAAAAAAAAAGGCTGCCATCAGGATTTTACTCTACAGTAAAATGGTGTATTTGCCATTGTTCCTACCCAGCAACTCAGGCACTTTCTCTGCTTAAAAACCCAAATACTTACGAAGATTTGTTCCCCTTTGTCTGCTCCTGAATCAGTTCACCTTTTGGGTTGACTGTGAATATTCGACACACTGGAACTCCAACTTTCATGTAGGCATACACATCCTGTGGGCCAAATACAAAATGCAATTTCATTTTATTTAGAGTCTCTGGAGCCAATTTAGAATTGACAATGCTACATTACATGTGCCGGCTCATACTGGCACCACTGGGGGATGGGATTTCTATGTTATCATGAATGACAACACACAAGCACACAAGGTTATTTTTGTTTTTGCATTATTTCATTGATTTCCAAGAGATTACTGTACTTAAACACATGTGCTTTGTGTTAATGAAAGGGAGGGAAACAAAAGATTACATGTTTTTTCAAGTCTTCCTTTCACTTATCATTTCCTTTCACTTCTTGTCGGTCAAGAACAATAAGGACTGGTACATCCACTGAAGCTGTCAAGCAAAAAGAGACGGTGGTCCCAGGATGTAAAAATTGTTATCAATACTCTATTCAAAGATAAACCCAATGCGTTTCGGCTATTGCACTTTTAGCCTTCTTCAGGGGCGCTGATGTTATGCTTATACAGAATCTGTCTCTAAGGTTATTTGTGTGGACAATCTGTGCTTTTTTTGCATTTTCGATGGGTCTTGCATGCTTCACTTGCTTTCTGCTTTGCTTTTTTTACATTACTGATGGATCTTGCACACTTTGTGTACTTTTCTCTCCCCCCTCCCTGCCAGAATGGATTAATCGCATTTCCAATGGGTGTTGCAGTGATTTTTTGGGGGGTGATTTTTTTCTTTGGCCAGAACGGATTAATTGCATTTCAATGCATTTCAATGGGAAATGGTGCTTCGACTTACAACCATTTTGAGTTACGACTGGAGTTCCGGAACCAATTAAGTTAACAAGTCAAGGCACCACTGTACCTCCTTAGCATACCCACCTGTGTGCAACTACCTCTGCCCCAGCAAGCCGGGCACTTGGTGGTGAGGCTGGAGACCATGAAGAGCATGAAAAATGAACATGTTCAGCCAAGCTGAACCTGCAGAAGGAAGAAGTATCTGCCTAAGGGGTGGAGGGGACATAGTGACAGCCGTGACTTCTCCACAGTTCACCTAGGGAGTGGTGTGCCATGTTCTGATTTGATCAGAGAACCTTCATAGAAAGTTTTGGGGGACAGGGTTGAAAGTTTCCATGCAAAGCTGGCTCAGAAAAAGGGTGAGTTGTGGTGTTTTTTTTACTTCATCTTCTCTTAGTGGGAGTAATTAGGTTTGGCTCGACCTATTTCTGAGGCTTCAGAGAATATTTTTACAGGTTGTTTGTGGTTTTTGTAATTAGTCATTGTACTGCTGCAACTATTCTTAGTTTTTAGGGCTGTTTTGAACTAGCACTAGGTTTGCGAGCATCTATTCTTAGTTTTTAGGGGCTGTTTTGGACTAGCACTAGAAAACATGAATGGAGAAAAATGAAATCAAACCACCTGAAAAAGGCAATCACTTCTGTGCTTAGTGAAAGAACCAATACATGAAAAGTAAAAAAAAGAGGCATCTCCAAAAGAACCCAAAATGAAACAAAAACAAATGCTCATCCCTTGCTATGACTACTTATTGCCACAAGCAAATGTATATTCCTAATACACAGACATGTAAACAGTTCATTAACTGTTTCTGAAGATAGTTTAATTCAAGAAGTTCCCTGATGGCAAGTTTCTCTTCCCCCAGTTCAGAAAGGTCTCCTGACCATCCAGAGAGACTGCTGAGGGCTCAAGGTGAAAACATTATAATAAATGTCCTTTCCATGAACTTCTAAACATTAAAATAATACTTGGAACCTAAGCCATTATATTGGCCTCATGTTGCCAGACCTCAAGAGAAATAGAAGCTTTGTTGCAATTAGTAGCTTGGAAAAGTATACAACAAATGCTCAAGTCCCTTTCATTCTTCAGCAAGAAAGGTCTTGTCTATACCTGTTACCTTTTTTGCTGTAATCATGCAGGTACACACCAAATTCACAACAGGGAAAAGATAACAGGAATCCTGAAAAACATTGCTAGAGACAAAGATTAACACTGCCCTGAAGCCTCCTTTGCTGTCTATCCCAGTGTGTCAGATTTCTTTCTTTACACACTGTAGCAAGCAGCCCTGCCCTCACCTGTCCGTCACAGTAGAACAGTGGAGAAGGAGCCAATGAGAGGACAGAAGGCGGAGCCAAGGGGGGAGGGGGCTGGATATAACGGCTGGTGTATGGAGCCTGAGAGAGATTCGGGTAGTGAGAGACAGTGTGAAACTTAAAAGTGAACTAAGAGTAAGTTAGAGATCTGTGAGAACAATGAATGGAATAGTTAAAAGAGGTTTAAAGTTATAGCAGTTTAGATTCAGATACTAGTGATTATCAGCCTGTGATCTACTTATTGAATATTAACCATATATTAACTTCCCTGACCTAATAAATGACTTAAGTTTTAAAAGCACACATGTCTCCATGATTAAGTGGTATTAAAGAAGTAATACCTGAATGCAGCGAAGAAACAAGAAGGGCGAGAACCTCGTGAAGGCCTGGGGGAATAGGTGCTTCAGAGGAGATCGCCACACACACCTTATAAGTACAGTGGTGCCTCGCATAGCGAGGTTAATCCGTTCCGGATTAACCTTCGCTATGCGAAAACATCGCTCAACGGAACAAAAAAACCCCATTAAAACGCATTAAACTTGGTTTAATGCGTTCCAATGGGCCCTAAACTTACCGTTGAGCGAAGCTTCTCCATAGGGGCGGCCATTTTCGGGCCCTCGCAAAGCGAGGGCACGGCGGGAAAAGTTACGGCGGCCATTTTGGAACCGCCGATCAGCTGTTTCCCCCCGCTTCGTTGTGTGAAAATCGCTAAGCGAATCGCTTAGCGATTGTCGCACAGCGAAAAAACGCCATAGGGGCCATTGCTGAGCGAACGCTCCAGCGATGGCCCGGACCCCCTCGCTATGCGAATTCATCGCTCAACGGAGCGATCGCTAAGCGAGGCACCACTGTATTTAAAAACTACACTTATATTTAGCACTCCTTTATAAAAAGAGAAAATATTTGACTCCTTCTGGGATGGTGGCAACTCACATTAGGTCTGTTTCCAAAAGCAGCATAGAAAGGTTGTTCACATGGGGCAAATAAGTTCTTGATATCATTTAAACACTCAATTTTGAATTTTTCAGGCTTCTTTTCAATCACTTCCCTGGGGAAAAAAATGCATATAGTTAGTTCTACTTACAATGAATTAGATGTTATTTGTGGTCTAATAGTAGGACAATGCTTAGGAACAATGTTTTCCCATCTTTAAGTAAATTATAAAGTGATAACAGAGGAATGTAATTAGGATTTTTTCTTTTGGAGGAAATGTGGATTAATATGTTGTGTGACATACCAAGTATTGCTCTTTTTAGCAAACCTTTTTAAACAGATGAAGCAAAATAATAAATTAGAGCACATGTATAGTGAGAGAACCTACAGTAAATCAGTGGAATTATGTATATTTATTGAATGAATGAATCAATGAATGAATCAATGAATTGCATTCCAGGACCTTGTTACTGCCCAACATATAAAGCTTTCATTCCAAAAAACTGCTCCTCTTTTTTGTATGTCATACAATGCCAGGTGTGTCTACATTTTGTTGTTTAGTAATTAAGTCATGTCCAACTCTTCGTGATCCCATGGACCAAAGCAAGCCAGGCCCTCCTGTCTTCCACTGCCTCCCAGAGTTGCGTCAAATTCATGTTGGTAGCTGTATGTCTACATACAAGTGAAATATTTAGAATACACTCTTCATCAAGACTCACATATAATGTATAATGACTGAAAAAACACTATCACGAGTGACAAACTCAGTTATTTCATTTCTCTCTTCTAGTTATATGACAAACCCCTCCCATTTCGTTTATTTGACCACTTCGATGTGGAGGCAGGATGGGGAATCTCCCCGCTCAGCTGATGAGTGGTTGGTTGTGTGGAGAGGAGCGGGGAAGGGCTGGCTGGGCTTCTGCCGGGATTGGTGCGCCACTGCTGAAGGAGGACTGCAGTGCAACACAGAGCTTGGTCAGTGGGCCACCCAGTTCTGGGGGAGGCAACTGAGCCTCTGCAGCACCACATATTCGTATCCCCAAGATACAAAGTGCCTATCTCTATCATATACTGCTGACCAAGTGTGGGACATTGCTCTATGTGGTTTACACATGGTTTCCATATTTTATAAAACCGCACTGCTCTATGTGGTTTTATAAAATAAACAATAACCCCAACCACCAAAAAGAAAACAAAACCCCAATAAGATACATACTTCAAATAAAACCCCAAATGATAGTAGGCTCTGGGGAGTACATATAGACAAAGACTTAAGTGAAGATTCCCTTCAATACTTCCTGGAACAAAAATGCCTTTAGCATGCTCTTAGAGGATGGGAAGGAAGAGGCCTGATGGACTTTCACAGGGAGTCCATTCCATAAAGTAGGGGCCATAGTCAGGAGTGCATGGTTTCTTGTGACTGTTTTCTTTGTCTCCCGCCGTGCAAAAAACCAGAGAAGGCCTATGCTGAACAGACCAAACAGGCTGATATTCTGAGGGGGAGATGCTCTGACAGATAGCAGGGCTCCAAACTGTTAAGGGCTTTGTAGACTAGCACTAAAGCTTTGAACTAGGCATGGAAAACAACTGGTAGCCGGTGGAGGTGAACCAAAGCTAGCAAGATGTGATTGGAACTTATTCACATCTGAGACCAGTTTGGCTGCCGCATACTGAACCCGCTATTTCTGCACCAATTTCTGAACCAGTTTGAAGCTATATTTTGCTTACATACCTATGAAAAGCAGAAAATAAACTGCTGGGAGACAACATTAATGGCCCTCTGGGCAGAATTGTTCCTTTGTCATTGACCCAGTGTAAATACCCTCTTGTCATATCTGCCATTCCAATGGCACGGGCTGAACAATACAGAAACTTATAGCCATTCCTAGGAGAGAGAAAAAAATATGTGTTCAGGTTCAGTCCTGGATTGGGAAGATCACTCTGGTTGAGATAGAAAGATTTAAAAGAACCATTCATATCATAATGTATTTACAAAGATTTGTCAATTCATCATTTCCTCTAAAGCATTTACTCTCTAAACAGCTGGAGGGAGGAGAGTATGTTGACAAAGTAATGAGTTTAGCATAGTTCTTTCCTTAAATTCTTTTGTAAGCATTACTTCACTATAGAAAGCTTGCATTTGTTTTCAAATGCAAGAAATTAGGAGCATATTAATCTTGTGGTTCTGATCATTATCTTTTTAATTGTAGCTCAGAATGATATGCCTGTGCATCAGTTTCTAAGATTAATGACTGTGTTTAATGATCTAGCATAGAGCCACTATTTCTCCCCTTCTATACTGAATAAAATCCTTCCTGCTGGGAATCTTATCATTTGAAGTGTCCTAAAAATCAAAGGTGAACGTACAGACACATACACAGATGGACAAAGGCATTGTAAGGAAAGACATATCTTCGCTGGAGCCCTCAAATATAATACACTTGGGTATACTGTACTATCAAAAGTACTTAATTTTCTCCACAAAATAATGTCTTGTAGTGTGATAAGTACTATCTGAACCTTCAGAAGCATTAACATGTCTGAATCACAGAATTTGATGATTTAACTTGGGTGGTGTCCATGCAATATTCAGGCTTAATCACGTGCATCCTTATTCAGAGCCAATCCCCACATTTGAGTAAGCATGCCAAAGACTAGCCTTTTAAGAAATCTTCAAAAGCATACAGCACTGTAGCTCTCAGTGACTGAATACATGTTTTTAAAAAATAAATGGAGAAAATGTTGAATCAAAATAAATCTGTTGTTACTTCATATTCTCTTTGTCTTCTGCACATTCTCTAACTCACAGACTGCAATACGACATGATTCCTCATACAACTGCCCTTCCTCTTGTGTTGGATCTCCATCATCATCAACACTGCTTGCTGTTTCTAACTTAAACTGGACCTTGGTTCTGAAACTTACACAGTATTATTCCTAGTGAAGCAATACGCTAGAGCATACATTCTTAACCTGTAGTCCATGGACCCCCAGGGAGTTGCAACGTCCTCACAGGGGGTCCATGAAGGCTTGAAGCAATGGTAGGTAGGTAGGTAGGTAGGAAGGAAGGTAGGTAGGTAGGAAGGAAGGATTTCTTTGATTTCTGCTAATAAAACAGTTTGGTTACTGTCAGGTAAAGTGACTTTTCAATATTATCACAGTAAATTTGAAATATAAAATAACCAATGCTGTTGATGAAGGTGCATTCCATTCAAAGCAAAATGAAGCTTCTTCCAGTCATCTTAAAACATGTTGCCATTATAGCAAGGAGTATCTATCGATGAGACCCTTTATGACAAACTTTAAATAAATATTTGATGCACTTTGGGATTTTAAATCCTGCATTACATCTTGGTGGCCCATGGAAACAAAAGATATTTAAAAGGGGGTCTGTGGTAAAGGAAAGGTGAAGAACTGCTGCACTAGAGGGAAAAAAATACAGTGGTGCCTCGCTTAGCGACGTTAATCCGTTCAGGAAAAAAGGTTGCTAAGCGATTTCATCGCTAATCGAGTTTTAAAAGCCCAAAGAAACACATTAAAACACATTAAAACGCCTATGGGCTTTAAAACTCACCTTATGTGAAAATCCTCTATAAGGGCAGCCATTTTCGGTTCCTCTAAAGCGAGGCAACACAGCTGTGCGAAAATGGGGCCTTTGGGAGGACCACGGGGGAGCCCTTCCCCGTGGTCCTCTCAAAGTCCCTGCCGATCAGC